GGAAGGTCCCAATCCAGGTTTTAGCACAAAGACAGCTTTCCAAGGTACAAGTATCTCACAGTGTAACACGAATACTTCCCGGCCAACCAGGCAGATCACTTTCACAGACAGGGTTTGGGCTACACTGTGCTATTAATCACTCAGAAAATGACCGCTCTAAACACAGCACCCAGTCAGCTTGCCAAATCAATTCTCATAACTTTTAAAAATAATATGTTTGACATAAACTGAGAGAACAGGTCTGGGTGATGACAATTCACTCTGCTAAAGGCAGCCCTAGACATCTGTTGAGATCAAAAACATGGACGATTTCTTGCAAGTGAGCAGAATAAATTCCTCTCATCTCACTTTATTACATGTTTCCAGCTTCCAGTTTGCTTTCAGCCCTTTTTAAAAATATCCCACATGACTCCAGTATTCAAATGTCCAGTATTTCAAATCTTGTTCTAAGCTTCATCATCTTTATCAATGGGATTCACCCCTCGCCTCATAATCCCAGTTCCATCCCAAACTCATTAGGCAAGCAATGGAGGATCATGCCAGATCCTGCCTTCCCAGAACTGTCACGCTGCACAGAAAGCAAACATAGGCCTTTGTCATCTTTTGGTTCTAACAAGTTGAGTGATACTACAAAAAAGACTTACAGTGTACACCATTGTTGTTATTTAAGAGAATAACATTGACCCCAGAGACAAATGTAGGTCATGCTACGAAGTGACAGTTATTTATGGAGATGTACTGATAATTACAGTGTTAATTGGTATTTACATTTCAACTTTAAGAACTCATACCCCCTTCCCAAATTTGGGAAACACTTAGATAAATAGTGACACTACTCAGTGCAAAAACATGAGCACTGTGTATCTCTGTCAGGTTTGAGGGAATTAGCCTCACTTACACACGATTCTCTGGCCCTTTGCAAGTCTCTTATGGTTTCTGTGGGGAAAGATGTTTGCAGCCAGACACAGAGCCTCAGATAACATCAAGACTACCCCTCAGCATGACACATCATTACATTCCTGCACTGTACCCTCTTCAGGCAACTCCACACATGGGAAGTCTGCTCATTACTGCTTTCTTCCTCTTACCTGTGTCTTTGAAGACCCTCTCATCGGGCTGCACTACGGAGCAGAGGCTATTGAGCACAAGCGTGCCAAGCTTGGCAGCTGTGCGCTCAGATGACTTGTAGTAATCGAGGGCAGTGTTTGTCAGAACAAACCAGCGTTTCTTCATCTTCAGAGAGGACATCTTGTTGCTGCTCTGAACCTCTTTATGAAGCCAGCCTAGCACAGGAACACAAACACATCAATGGTTTCACCACCACAGCAATCCCGTCTCTTGCCTGGTGGCTCTCTAACTCTGGGACCAGAACTCCATCTCTCTGCAAAAGGCTCATGCTGGGACCTACCAGCTCTGCTTTACTGGCTATAGCAGTATCCTGCACAGTCACTGTAAGAAACTAGCCCAAAATTTTCCACAGAGCTGTTCTATCCTTCAGCCCTATGTATTTTTTATCAATGATCTGTGGTTTAGTTTCCCATCGCCATGAGGGCATCCCTCTATTCAGGATGCTTCCCTCACAAGTCACAAACATCTGAATAAATAATTTACAATTCACTCTTCCAAAGAGGTGCCAAATGCCTATCCAAACCTCGATGGAAGAGGTTTGGTGATACATGTCTTCTAGTAAAAAGATCTTCAAGCATTACATGCATCTCTTCCTCCCACGGTTAGGAAAAATAATTTCTCTCTCATTTTAGATTCCCCACAAAATTAAAAAAAGAAAAAGAAAAGAAAATTCTTTTACTTACTATAAAAGAAAAAATGTCAGTCTGTATTGCTAAAGCTGTCAAAAAGACATTTTTCTATTCAGAGCTGTAAAAAGCAATGTCCACCCACAAGGCAAAAAGTTCAAAGAACGTGGGACTGAGCCCAGAGGTTCTGTATAAAGAAAAGATAAAGAGACAGACCTTCCCAAATATATGCCTTCATGGCTACACCACTGTCACACAGATATCTTACTGTGAAATGCAGAGCATAAATTGACTTTGCAAAGGAACATTCCTTTTTTTCTTTAACTTATGAACAATATGAGATAAAAAGAACTGTTGCCTTACAAGTATTTTGAATTTAAGGTACTCAAACTGTTGTCTGATAATCTGCTTTGTATCATTCAATCTCCTTGAAATGTTTAAAACTAGGATGGAAGGCTTATGCCACTTTTTGGTCACCCTTCCTTGCCATGACCACTCCCAGACCTTTATTCCCTCATAGATACTTTCAGGAAGACATAAGGAATTTGCTCATGCACTTGCTTTCCCCAGATTGGATCAGGAGTGTCTTCATACATTTAAGACCATGTGATGAGCTGAAAGTACTAAGGAAATTTAAAAACATTTGAGACAAATGGGGGAATATTTTGTAGTATGTGTGTGATCACGACTCATACATCAGCTCCTCCATCTCCAACTAAGCTCTAACTAGAGACGTAATTTAAATCTTTTGCTCAGCCTCAGAGAATTATTCTCACCTCACTATGTGTACCATAATCAGGTTAGTTTCTTTAGCTGAGGACAGCAGCAATCCCACAAAGATCTCTCTCCCTCCCTCTCTACATGACAGGTGTCAGAAGGAACAGAGCTTTCTGAAAACAAAAGCTGCAGTGTCATGTTATAGTCAGTCTAAGCCAGCTGCTCCTAAACAGCAGCCATGCTCCCTCCTATTCCCTGACGGCATTTGCTGGACATGCTGAAATAGGCTATGGAACTAACACCAGAAAACTAAACGTATAAAGTAGTACTTATTTTTTTCCAGCTTTAGCTTTCTGAATCCACCTGACAGGGAATCAGATAAAACCCAGTGCCAGCACAACACAGGATGCGGCAAGCAGTGGGCAGGAAGGTGGAGAGGGACAGAGAATAGCAGCTAAACCCAGATTGGATTAGCCACAATCAAACCTCCCCCTTAGATTATAAATGGAAGATGAGTTTCACATGTTGTAATTGCATGCATTTCCTTTTACCTCTCACAAGGAATTCCTGGCCATCAACCTTAGATTCGCCTTTTGGTTTCTGCAGCAGGGAGATCCAGTGATGCATCTCCTCAGGGGTGTCGCTGTTGCAGTGAATCACTCGATTTGCTGTGATGATCACAAAAGAATTTGGTCTGCCAGAAAATAAAAGCATTAAAATTGGTCGTAACCACACAAATATCTCAACTCACAGCACACCCAAAGCCGTGTCCTCTACCTACCCATAAACAATGCAGAAAGATTTTCTGAATACAAACTACAGAGAAGCGTAGAAACACTTAAGAGCATCTCCTGTGCAGTTGGTCTGCAAACTGATGAATGCAGAGACCAGATAAATGGGATGAAACATCTTCCAAAAGCTATTTCCAAAGGCTAGAAAACATTAATTAACTAATGACCAGATGTAAAATGTCCTGGGTTCATAAGCAAAGGACTTTGTTCTACCTTCTGATTGGACTGAGCTAGTCCTAGTATCACTGGGCTGAGCTAGTATAGCCATTCTCCTTGTACTTATTAAAACCAGTGATGCAGTAGCAAACGTAGGTCCCAGCAGGGTCAGCTAAAATGGGTTTGAGATTGGTTTTAAAAAGGATGAGCTGATCCTGACAAAACAGAGGAAAAACTGTTATGTTGCTCCTAAATGACTTTGTCCTTCTCTTGCAACAGACAAATGTGTCCTACCAAAAGAATATTCACAATTCTGCACAGAATTGATGCTTTATAGGAAAATGGAAAAATAAAAATATGGCCAGTTCCAAGAGGATAGACTCAGAAAGCTTTGAAAGCAAACACTGATTTCTATGAGAAAACGGAGAAATTGAAAAGTAGATTGCAAGTATGAAGCAAAAGGTAAAAGGCACAAATCAAGCAACTGTCTGGACATTGCATAAACCTGTGGAAGATAAAAATAAGCTGCATAAAAACCTTGGTTGAAAAACAAGCATTCACCTCAGAATTTGTTTAACGTTGATTCAAACATTGATACTCCAGAAAAGCGTACCTCGGCAGATGCATGAACAAATTTTGACTGTTCAGCTTACTATTTGTGCCTAGTTTTTTACTGGTACTACACAGATTAACTATGAGGAGCCTAGTCTGAGAACCGGCTAAAACATTTTGATCAACAAAATCTTCGTTCACTACAGAGATACGCATTTTCTAATCTAGTAACCCCAAAGTCCTGGCAACCTGTATGAAAAAAAAAACAGACCACAGAGGTAAATAACTTAATAGCTAACATTTTACTTCAGCAATGTAGTAAGAATCTTTGCCCTGGCTGAACCTGTTAACATTGTAGGAAATAATTAAATGTTAACGTAAAGTGATATGAAATGTCCCATAATCTCTTCTCTGAAACTAACCAATCCGTGAACTAAAGGTCTGTGCTCTGTTGCATTGCAAAGATTTCAAGAAGAATACAGATTTCTAAATTTATCCATTATTCTTTCACAATGCTGTTTTTTTCCCCTAAATTTACAAGATTAACTCAAAATTACTGCGTTGAAAAACTGGGAGTGCTGCTTTTGCTGGACATTTTTGTTCAGTGATAATAATAGGTAAGACTATAATTTCTTGACATTGAGATATGCTGTTTCCACTTTTAAGAGGGAAAGGAGAAACTTTCACTAAAAGAAAATATATGTGTGAACTTCATGCCTGTGAAGCGACATAGCTTGAAACAAGCTAAAAACTTTTATGTTTATTTGTTTGGAGGTAAATTCTTATGAGTTTAAACAAATGCAAACCCCAAAGAAAACCTGGACATACCCACAAAAATATGTTAGAGAGTTTCTGATCTAAGAGATGGTCAGGTTGCTGTACCTACCTGTCAGGATTGTCTGAGGCACAGACAGAGTCAATAAGCCCAACATCCAGGGTTCCCTGTACGGTGAGAAAGACACAGATAACAGGAATTGCTTGCATCTTAAATTACAGACATTCTCCTTCGTGGATAGGATTGGAACTGAAAACATTCTTCTGAATTCCAATAGCTTGAGTAGAAATGAACATATGAGAAAGGCACGAGTGAGTCATCTTTGCTCGCTAAACAGCATGAGAAGATGTGTAAGGGCTCCACAGGACTGGAGGAAAAAGAGCTACAAATTTCCACAGAGCATTATGAAGGTCTGAAATAACCTTTGCTAGTATCTCAATACTAGCAAAGTACATAAATACATTGTTTTTCCCAACTGCATATCTTCTGTCTGGAATAACCCAGGTTAGTCCCATAATCCCATCCAAAGACATTTTATCTGCATGAGGCAGCCCCCCTCTTCCCCTCAAACCGAAGAGAGCTATTGGCGATCAAGCTAAACCACCCACCACAACCACCATGTTCCCCTGCTTAGCCTCTTTTCTATCAGCTTTGCTGTTTCTTTATAATAATTGTCCAGCTTTCTTATACTGGTCACAAACTACAGCACTGCAAGTGCTGGAAAAACATGCACAAAATAGTTAAACACAGAGAGCTCTAAGCATGCCCACAGACTGGTTGCACAGTAACTCACCACAGCATTCTTTGGATTGGCCTGTTCATCTTGCATTTCCCTCAGCTGCTGCACTGTAGCGCTGTGTACTCGGCTCAGAACATTAAACCAACCGCTGGCAATCGAAACAGACTCAAAGTTAAGATTTGGGTAGCGAAGCTAGCTCTACAATATGATCAAAGAACCTGGAAAGCTGCCTGTGGGAAAATTTCTTCATTCACAATTTCCTGAGGACTATGCTACAAAATATCTCTTCGGCTGATCATACCAGACTCTAATGTCTTCCTTCCTCTTTATTTATCCATGAAAATTCTGTGCACGTTCTCCAACCCACTGACAGCTGCTCCCACAAAATCCAGTTTTCTACTTGCTATTCAAGCAGGCCCTACCAGGGAGCACGTCAGCAGACTGAGAAGAGCCTACAGCAGTTATAAAGACAGGGTCAGTTGGGAATCTTCTTGGACTAGAGTCCTATAGACGCCTGGGAGCCTTCTTAACTAGTCTCTCTCTGATCTGCTCATAAACTTGAAAGTCATATGGCTGTCAAATAATCATGGGGTTTTTTATAAGTTAATTTGGAGTTAAATTATTTGTCTGTGAAAGGGCTTCTCGTTACAGACATATCTGGAGGCTAATCTCTATTGCAGAACAAGCAGATTCTTATCTGCAGCTTCCAGTGAGATCAGCAAATATCTAGACTTCATGGAGGATTCTCAAACTGGATACTCTACGACATCTGCTAATCTCCCCTTTGCTAGTGCAAGTGTTGGTGCTTTCTTCTCCCTCAGAACAGAGACTGATATGGCATTGACAGAGGCCACATTTGGTTTACATTTGCCCTAGCAATTCTGCAATGTTATCTTGGGGCATGCCTATTCCAGTTGTGGAAGTTCTGGGTTAAGGAGTTACTGTTTCTTCAGCTACTGCCCCTTGAATTTGCCTGTTTCTTGTTCATGTGGCCGTTCTTTAGTTTATTCCTATTAATTTATTTGTGTCCAAACACTTTCCCCCTCCCTCTCTCTACACCCAAATGAAATAACAACAGACCCTAAATAACTTCACAGAATCAGATTAAAGTAGATGAGAGAAATAGTTACACTGGCTGGGCTGAGAGAGCAGAAGCCTTGGTAAGAGTGGGAAAAGTGGAAAGACATGAGCAGCTACAGACAGTAACCTCTTAACTTGGCTTTGCATAGCCAGAACAGGTTGTCCAACCTGCCCTTAAACAACTGATTCCCACTGCCTGGCCAGGACGCCAAGAAGGAAGGACATGAGTCATTTATTTGCTTTGCACTGGGAAGATTTTATCAGATGACACTACAGACTGATAAGCTGCAGCCTTTTCTCTGTCTCCTGGATAAAACCCAGCTGCTCTCGCAATCATTTACAGACAACATGAATAGACTTTTTGTTTGATTCAAGATTCCATTTAATAAATAAATCAGCTATTAGATGTTCCAGTTTATATTAAGGTTTTGTGTGTCTCCTGAAGTAACCCTTGAATTCAGCATGCTCACAGACACATAAGAAGGTGGCAGTCCTGTGACTGACTGATAGGCTGAATCACCATTGCAACGAGTCCCCGAAGTAGGTGTGGTACCTCCCAGTAAGCACAAAATGACACTCTGGAACGAATCCCCTCTTTTCTCCAGCAAAAGGGAAGCGTTTACGTTTCCCAGGCTCTCCCATGAGTAGCTGGGTCAGACCTGCACTGAATGAACAAACCTAACAAAACTCCCTCTTATACCTGGCATCTTCTGGTGACTCTGCAACAATGTGATAAACTCTATCTTCTGTCACAATGTCCAAGGCATTCTCCTTTTCATGAATGTCCACAATCTCCCTGGAACACAGCAAATCAGAGCCAAAACTGAAAACCTTTAACAGGCATAAATTCCATCTGGCCAATTTTCTTTCACGTTGTACCATTCACCATACAGAAGGGAAATCACTCGTTCAGATGGATTATAACTCTGACAGAGAAATACAAAATTCTTCTAATACTCATTAAGACTTTTAGGGTCCCCTTAAAAAGATTTGTACAGTTAATCTACTACAAAAGCAAAGCTTAAGGCGTTAAATGCATCTTCTTCAAGACATGCAGACTAGATGGAAGATGAGATAACAGGGAGGTTGATATAGAGGGCTGTTTACAAAGTTGTGTGTGCCACTCTTTTTGGCACTTTACAGGCCCACATAATGCTAATAGGTGACTAGTCTCTCTTTCTTACAGCAGGAGCTGTGGAATTGGCCATGGCAGCAAAAAGAGCATTCAGGGCTCAGGAAAAGGCATAGTACGTGCTGCCAAATCCAAATCCCGCTGTGAGCTTCACACCACCTCTTTGAAATGCCTGGAGAAGCCAGGAAACAGATGGAGTCAGGGAAGGGGAGAATGCATGGGGTATGTACTTAATTAGCCCCTCCTGGTCTGGCTCCATCCATGGCTTGGAAAGAGCTTCTGCCAGATTACGAAATGCAAGACTGGAAAAAGAACTATCAAGTATTTACTCCCTCCAGAGTAAAACTAGAAGCTCTAATTGTCTTTTCCTTCCCTTACGTTTCTGATTCTCCTAGCCTACGGGAGATACATAGGCCGATGAACTGGCAGCACTGGACACTTCATTATTGATTCAGAGAGCGAATACTAGGGATCAAAAGGACTTATTTCTTCACTCACTTTGCTCTTCTGATATCAATTGTCCCCTTCAGCTTTTCCTCACTATCATTCTCAAAGTACATCAGCTTGGATTCTCGAAGCACAAACCAACGGCGTTTCCAGTTGCGGCGTGAAAGTGTTGACATGCCTCCACCTTTTTTATAGAGCCAGCCTGACTTCAGTGCCTCTTGCTTGGTGCGGAACCACATGAAGGCCTCGTTCTTCAGAACGCACCAGCGCCGCCTCCACGGGTTCATGAGACCTCCTGCAAAGTGAGGGAGCAAGATTTCATCAGACATGCCACAAGGGCCATGCTTCCATTCTGATCCTGCTTCATGGACGCTTAGCTGCCACTTCAGTTCCTACATGAAACAAAGGAGCTAATGGAGAGAAACAAGGTTATGCTGAAGTTTGGACAGAGAAAAAACAGAACAAACTAGTGAAACAAACACAAAATATAGAAATATATGCACTACTCAAATATTTTTGTATTGTATTAAGTTTTGTAGCTCAGAATGAGTCATTTAAGCCCATACCAAGTGGGCACAATTAGGTCTCAGTAGCAAAGACATCCAGTCTAATTCCCTGGCATCCACCTCCTAGCTCTTTGTTTTAAATAAAAGATGGGGGCGGGGGCACGGGGGAAGAGAGAGTAAACAGAGAACTAAGAGCGGATGAAGATGATTCTGGAGAAACAGAAGAGGAAAGCAGGTTTCCGGGATTCCATCCTTCCATGGTTTTGGCTAAAGCCGCTTACCCTTCATGTAGAGATAGCTGTGAAAATAGGGTGGTCCTGAGCCATTGAAGATGGTGACTCGTCCATTACAAAACTCTTCATCTGTATCAATGTAAACATCCACTTCTTCTTCACTGTCCAGAAACTAAAAGGAAAAGAAGAAATACAGGCTACTTGGGTTCTCCTGGCCGCAGGAGGACTAGAGCAAAGTAACAAGGCTAGAGAAGTCACATGATCAGAAGGTGCAAAACTACACATACTCCCCTTACAAAAAAAGCAATACAATAAAACTAGAGGCTTGACAGCTTACCCATTAACGCCTAAAGCAAGAGTCTCCAGAGCATGGAATTTTCATACCAGAAAGGAGAGTGACATTCAGCAGTGGATGTGGCTAGAAAACTCCAGTTACCTGCAGTAACAAACCTTCAAGTTTCAAGGCAGGGGCCAAAGTCCAAAATCTGATTTAATGGGATTAAGAGAGAATTTTTCATTTTGGAGGATTTTTCTGATTTTTTTGGCAGAGCTGTCAAGATGCTGGACAAGATGGAGCACTAATCTAACCCCAGCAAGGAAATGCCTTGCTCTGTGTTCATTAGGGAAAAAAGCACATTCCAGGATAACTGAACCCTGAAAACAAAGATCTAAATTACTGAAATAATAGTACAGTATTTACTCATCCCTGTTCTCCAACTAGATAATCGCCCTCAGTCATAAGAAAGTACTTCACACATGAAATCCCATATTACCCTATCATCTCCTTTACCTTAAATACAACTTCCTTTGATCGGCTTCATTAATTAATATTAATGAAGGCAGCTCCTTTTCCTTCCTGAGATGCATATTGCTTCTTTTCATTTTTCCCTTCTGTCCTCTCTCTGTGACCCCTTTACGCTCCTCTTTTGTCTCATTCCTGTTCCACTCATTCATTCTCCCTCTCCTGCCATTAAGTTTCAAAAAGCAGGTACGCTTGGATCAGCAGATACTGATGGGATCTTGACCCATATGCAGTTATCTCTTCCTATGGCTCATGCCATAACATAGTATCAACCGGACTTTTCATGAGGAGCCCAAAAAAATCCTCCACTTCTATTTACATTGTAAGAAGAATGGTAGAAACTGGCCGAGGCTGTGACAGAATGACTCATGACTTGAAGATTAGCTGACAGTGATCTGTGACTACCTGCCCACAGAGAAGGTACCTTTATTCAAGCAGATCAGATCATAAAAAATTCTGATGGCTGGCAGCTGACATTAGAGAAATGCAAACAGGAAAAATCATGCAACTTTTTAAGATGGGTCACAATCTGCCATTGGAAAAGAATAGCAAAGGAATTAAATTTAATTCCATTAAAAAACAAACAAACAAACAATCATTTTCTAAAAGATATTTCGTAGTTCAAGTCTCTCTTCTCAGGGACATCATTTATCTGAAGTATTTTTATGGCTGTCCTTGGCTTCACACCTAAACTACTCACAATTTTATGTGGGCTTATCTGACATCCTGTTCTGTAAGGGGATTTATCGTTGCATTATTAAGCAACTAGCCTGAGGGCACTCAGGAAGTCCAGAGCCTAGTGTGGGATCTAAGCTGAGATGCTTCAAGCGCGAGGCTAATATCCCAGCTTTACTACCCTGTCCCTGCAGTAGGAACGAAAAGGTTCAGTGGTCTTGGTTGTGTGCACCGGGTCCCAGCCTGGATCAGCACAGAAATTTCTTCAAGCCTTAGAATAGCTTAACTTGTACACAGCAGCTGAAAATAAACCCTTGAGTCTGAACAGTAACAGGACTAGAACAAGAGGAGTTTTAGTGATGGAAACAAATAAAATCCCAGCTTTTCCCATTTCCTCTTGTGATTGTCCACTAGGAGCTCAGGCTACTTCTGTGAAATCTCTCTAAGGTAGGACATATACCTACAAGATACTAGTTGCCTGCTTTCAGTCTTCCTAAAGGGTGTTACGTTAATATATGGTGATGGAAACAATATAAAATAGCCTAGGTACATATGTGCTAGCTTGTGTACCAGTAATACTGGACAGTCACAAGCCCTCTGGCCTTCAGCCTATCTGTTTCTCTTCCCTTTTTTTCAAGCTGATTATTGATGTAAGAGAGTGTTACATGTTAGTAACAATACCCAGAGCAAGCAGGCGTACAGTAAGAAGGCAAGGATGTTACAAATAGCAACAAAGACACACTAATGTCCAGAAAGGTGAAGGGAGGGATTCTTACCGAGTCCAGGCTGCCACGGTTGGAGTCCAGGCTGGTGCCATGGGAGTGTCTCAGACCTTCCTCACCGTTCAGGGGCTCAGCGGAGGCACTACCTGCATCTCCACAGCCATCAAACTCCTCATGGTCATAGTCAGACTCCACATCCGGGGGGGAAGTGTAAATCGGCTCTCCCACCTCTCCACTGTTACTCCTCTGTGTATCTGAGACAGTGCTGTAAATGCTTTCTGCTGGGTCAGATAGGGCTCTCTGCTCCTTGGGGCTAGCGGTTCTTTCCACAGGTTGTCCTGGAGCTGGGACAGCCTCTCCCACTTCCCTTTGGAGAAGTGAAAGGCTTGTGTCCACACCTTCCTCTGAGTAGTTATCACTGTTTCTTGTGCCGTGCTGATTCAAGAACACCAAACTGGAAATTGGCCGTCCTTCATCATCAGCATGAAAACCCTCATCCACTTCTTCTTCAGCTAGTGGTGCCACCAGGCTGCAGTCAATGTTGAGTGTCCCCTCACTAGAAAGTGAGCGCTCTAAGTTCTGCACACTTTCATCCAGATTGCCAAAATCCAGCAGCTCCAAGAACTCCTGGGCAACCCTAGATGCCTCCTTTTCCAGCCTCTGGATCTCTTCTTCTCGCTGCCGATTGATTTCATTCCTGGTGTTTTCACAGATGATAGACATGTGATCCTCCTTCTGTTGCTGCAACTTCTCAATCTCCTTCTCCAGTCTTAAGATCTCCTCCATCTGACGTCTCTCTTCTTCTTGCAGGGGAATATCTACCTCCTCAGTCTTTACTGCTTCCACCTTAAAGAATTTATAATAGTGTTAAAGCAGTTTCTTCAACCTACATGTTTTCCTTGCTCAGACCTTTCATTCTTCCTACCTCCTGTGCTTTGCCTTGTACTTCCCACCTGCAAAAAGATGACTCTAAGCACCCTCTCCTTTTCTGATCGGCATCTGCAATCATGCATGTTGTAAAAGCTAAAGGTAGAACTACGGGATCTTCAGGTACCTCCTTTTTTCCAGCAGCCTACCTCCTTTCTGAATCGTACAAAGTAGCTCACTGGGATCAGTGAATTTTTAGAACAGCCCGTCTGTCTGCTGCTTATGTTACAGCCCTTTGTACACTACAATTTGGATAAAAGCATTCTGAAAGTCCGTCATCTCTTTTTGAACTATCTCACACACATACACGCATATAGAAGAAAGCAACTATATACGAACACATATATGCATAGCTTGCTTAAGAGCTGAAGATTTCCCAGAAATTCATTAAAACATTTGGGGATTTTGTCACTTCCTGAGTTGGGGGTCTGACCATCAGAATCTAGGTCTGGAAGGGATATTTGCAATGAAGCAGGACTGTATCCACTCCAACCCCACCCCACCCAAGCTCCACCCAGAATTTCTTGGCATTCTTTAGCATCACTGGATGGATGATGGCTGGCTGGCTGCTGAAGACTCTGTCTTCCTCTATTCTCCACACTGAAGTAACAGGACATTTCTAGCAAGTACACAATAATTAGAAGATGGAAGATACTGGTAACTTTCACTGATGTTTAGCTATAAGATAAAGCCACCCTCCCCTCCATGGAGGACGTCGAAAACATACACATACAAGAAAAAGCAAAAATAAATTCCAAACGGATTTAATGTACTTCCTGATAGGAGTATGACAATGCCGCCAATGAAGTGGCGCATTTAAGCCACAATCTCTGTTTTCTTTACAGTTACCCTGTTGCTCTTGTTGCTCTCTACTTGACTCTTACTTGTAGACAAATGCATTTTTATACTCTAATCTGTCACCTCTCCTGAACAGAGCTGGCCTGAAACTGGGGAACAAGTGGTTTGGGAAAAGAAATAAGAAGATACACAGCTGTTTTCACACACCTCAGGGTAGGTGGTCTGCTCTTTGATATGTCAAGTACCAACAAACAATTAGATCAGTTACAAGGGGTTTATTTTAGCCATGGTAACAGCCATCTGCACTCTTATTTCTGCTGTTACAGGCAACAATCCAGCAAAACAGACCGTGTCACAGAGTAGCACATCACAAGGTCATGTAATAAGGTCAAGCAGTAGAGATAAAAAAGGATGCTGTATGTTCAATACAGAAATTTTCAAATAGGAACTATGCAAGCTGGTACATGAGCCTTGAAAAAACCCCCACCTTATTAACTCTATGCAACTCTGCCAAAGCCAAACACCTGCAGGTTTTGAGTGCACAAAGCCCATTTTTTAAATAGTGTTGCCACAATAACAATATTAGCTCCAGGCAAAGCGTAGGCAATGAAGGACCCTTCACAGATAGAAGGCATATGAAAAGAATAACTGTTAAACTTACCTGAGCCACCTGGAGCAGCGCATTCAGTTGCTCCTTTTCTCTGTTAAAAAACAAGACATGATGGTCAGAGACAGACCCAGTTCTCCTACATGAGGCTTTTAGAATTACGTGGACACATCATCCCTCCATGGATAAGGTTAAAATAAGGTACCTATTGTAAGACTGATTTAAAAGCTTTTGTAATTTAGTAAAAATCCAGTCCTCTGTGGTTGGCATGACCCTTGTGGATACAACAGATTTTCCCCATGCACTTAACTTTCAGATCAATCAGGAAATTGGATCAGTTGGAACACACTAGGAAGGACATTGGAAACTGACGGAAAGGCAGATGAGTTAGACTCATGATAAATGTAAACAGAATCTTCTGAAGTACTTTACATCCATGGATATTAAATGAGGTTGTACATGCATAATTGACAGATATCGGGAACCTGTGGGTTTTTTTAAAAAACAGAACAGAATTATTGCATTGAATTTGTGTTTTGTTTTGCTTTTACTATATTAAAGCCCCCCCCAAGTTATCAAATTTTTATACTTCGTTAAAAGACTAAGCCGAGGACTTTCTATTCTGAAGACCTGGGTACTCCAGCTTGCATAACTTCTCAGTGGCATGCAAAACCTAGTTTACTAGTAAAGACTGTAAGAGTCAGAGTTTGTTAGTAAACATGAGTAGAGGAAAAAAAAACCTATCCCACGGTGCTGCATCTCCACTCAGATCAACAAGGTTGTACTCCAAGGGAAAGCTCTCACTATGGCCAGTTTCTCCATAGCGAGCACGCTACAAGCAACTGAACTAGGAGACAGACAAACGCCAGGGTCATGCACAGGGAGAAGGGGTAGGATGTGGCTGGATGGAAAAGTCTGCCTGTAGCAACCACTATGCAGCTAAATTCAGACTGGCAATGGTAACTTTCACATCTACAATTCAACCTCAAGCAGAACAGGAGGGCAACAATATTTATTTCCCAGGCTCTGCAGCTTTTCCCAGCCAAATTCTAAATTGCAGTTGCAAGTCACAAAGTCCTTAAAGCTCTCATTCTTGTGCTCCCTCTCTCCCAAAAAAAAAATCCAGGAAATGTTTATAAATGAAAGCTGACATAAGTGAGATCCAGATGGTTCCAACTCTACTGAAAGATCTCTAACAGTAGTCATGAGTTAAACAACTGCCTTAAATGATATGAGGGTTCAAGAAGCAGAGCCATTTTAAAACAAATCAGGAATACCACCTACAACCTACACACTAATTCCTGCAACAGTTCCTCACATTTTTTTAGACCTCTGATATTTCTTGCTGCTTTCTATCCATCTCCAACTGATCCACACTCTTCCTGGAATGTGATACCCAAAACGAGGGACAGTACTCCAACTGAAGCCTTACCAGTGCCAAGTGGAACAGAATAATCACCCCACATCTTACAGAAACAATCTTGTTTATAGATGGCATTTGCTTTCTCCTCTCACACAGCATGACACTGGTGACTAATACTCAACTTAGCCTCCAGACCTTCTTCCTGCTGTTAAAGTAGGCATTCTTCCTTCACTCTCTGTGCATTTGATTATTCCTAACTGTAGATCTGCATATGTCTCTATTGAATGTTACTGTATGTTTTTCAGACCATTTCTTTAATTTGCCAAAATTATTTGAATTTAATCCTGTCTACCTACATACTTACAGCCCCTCACCAGATAGTTTTATCTGCAAATTTAATAAGGATACTCATATTTCCTCATCCAGCTTATTATGAAAACATTGCACCATATCCGCCACAGACCATGGAAGAATCCCATTCAAGGGTTCTCTCCTATTTAACAAAAAACTGCTACTGTTTATTAATTAAAATGCAATAATACAATGCTGTAAAACCGTATTTGTTTTTTCCAAAACCACATTCCTTATAGTGTCTTACAGTATTGTCATAACATGTCAAAGCCCTTACCTACCCTCTACCTACCCAAAGTCAAGTTAGCTACCCTCTATGGATTCTCCCTATCCACAAGAATGTCATAAACTATCACAGAAGGAAACAGATAACTTTAATGCTGTTTGTTCATCAGAAGTCCATGTTGGCTCTTAACTCCTTTATCAAGCATTTACAATTGATTATTTGTTTCAGTATCTTTCTGAAACTGAGGTTAGGCTGACTGGTCCACAATTCCCTCATTCTTCCTTTTCCCATTTTTAAAAGGAGGTCATTATGTTCGGAATTTTCCAGTTTTATGGAAACTCCATTGCTGTCCACAAAGGAGGAGAAAGACAATAGCTACGGATTCAAACTGCTTCAGCAAGTTCTCAAAGTACCCAAACATTAATTTCACCAAGTCCAGATGACTTCTTTGTAATCTGATTTACCTGAGCATTCTCTAACCCTTTATTTCCCTGCTAGGTTCGAATTCTTGCACATCTGTGCCAATTGTATTTAGTGTCCAACAGCTAAGCCTTTTGGGAAAGACAAATAAAACCAGCACCAAATACCTCAGCTTTCTCAACATTATAATTTTTTTTTCCTGTTGAACAGTAGACCAAATTGCTCCATGCCTCCCTTTTACTAACAGTGTATGCACAATAACTGCATGCCAACTTTTAGTTCCTTATAGCTCAATTTGCATCTTGGTCCTAATTTTGTCTCTGCATGTGTGGGGGGTTTTTTGCTTGTTCTCAGTAGATTAACCAATTTGCAATTTTTGTGGACTTCCCCTCATTTTTGAGGTCAAATGGAAGTTCAAGATTTAGCCAAGTTGGTCTACTAGTACCTTTTTGTCTACTCACTCTGAATGAAGCCATTTGACATCAAGTAGAAAATGAAAGCAAAAGTTCACTTGATTCCTAGAAACACTGACACTTCTTTACAATGATGCTGGGTTCAACACATCTTTCATGGGCTGGGAACTAGAGGGCAGGGGCAGAAACACACTGGAACAAATAAGTTAAATTGCTCCTTTTATCTAAACCTAGGTAGGTACAAGCTTTACTTAGTACAATAAGGACTTTAGACCTGAGAGAGCGTCTGTAGCATTTGATATCTGCAAACTAGTTACTGACATTCTGAACTTGCACAGCTTCATGTTGCTGATGAGGCTGTTGTTGAAAATTGACATGTTAATAAAACGGAGCCTTCAGTGTTGTTCAACAAATTCCTTGACCAAACTGTTCATCATTGGTGTCACTCACTCCATGTCTTGTCCCAGCAGATACATCACCCTACTGTCTCCAGTGAAACCGCAGGCAATATCTTTTTCTTGTGACATGCTTCTAACCTTAGAATTTTCTGATGCTTGTCACACATCTTAAGTCTGCCAAGATCCAACTTCGGGACAAGTATGTAACAAAAGCCTATAAGAAACGTAACCAACTATTTATGAAAAACGTAAAATGTCACAGGATTATTTGTTCAAACTTACACAATAATCTTGTAGTTGAAGTTTTATGCTTCTTAAAACAAAAGATTATCAAGAGAGACACCCAGTTTGGATAGGATGTAGGTAACCCTGGAGTGAACGGTAAATGATGCATGAGGTGCAGGATTCTCAACAGGTGCACTATCACTGCTCACAGATTGACTCTTTTTGCCAATTAGCTTTTCCTTTCCTCTCCTGATCTCCTGACATATCCGTACCCCTGATGAGAGATACACAGCAGCAGGAACAGGGAGAGGACGTGTATTCTCACAAGTGTAAGAACTGCAGTAGCAGCACAGGTGCGCTGCCCATCTTGCTCTCTGATCCAGTTTACTGGACACACCAAGACTCATAAACTCTGGTACCTTCTCACACTGCTAATCGCTCCAGATTTTGGAAGACTGCATAAAACTTCCTTTACCACTGCAAAGGCAATGAGAAAATTATGCATCTCTGCCCTATCAGTGAAACTGTCTCCTTTCACGTACATTCCAAAGCAGAAAAACACTAAACAGAGGTAAAAATGCACCAGAATTTGCTAAAGGAAGCAGGACACTCCTTTTCCACTCTGCTTTTCTATTCTGAGCTGCCCATAGTCCACCCCAACTTTGCCATGGCACTGGGACACTGTCTCATGCAATTGCTCTTCCAGTGTCACCACCACGCCAGTGCCCCAGACCCGCTTCTACACCTCAGCAGCTTTAATGCTAGGGAACCATGAGTGCAAGATACCATCTTGTACCTTTCCTTCACCTCTTCCTCTTCCCGTTTCCTCCTACGCTCCTCCTCTTCTTGCCATTGTCTTTCCTCTTCCTCTCTTCTGATCTGTTCTTCCTCTTCTTGCCTCCTTCTCTCCTCCACTTCCTGCTTCCGCCTGAGTTCCTGCTGCAGCAGGTGCTGGTAGAGGCTGCGAGCCAGGCGGCCACGCCAGTGCTTCTGCAGGATGACTGCAGAGGCCTTCAGTCGCAGCAGACTCTTCTTCCAGAAGTATGCTCGGTAGTTCTTTTGGATTATAACAACACTGGCTAGCACCTTTTGATACTTCTTCCTAAAAACAGAATCAGACACTTAATGCGCCATGAAGCTATACATGCTTTGCATTTCCCATGCCCTGGTATATTGACCAATCTTACCACATCCACAGAAAAATGAATTTGGAAAAATATTGCTCAGAAATTACACAATTTCTGTTCCTCTACTGACACTACCTGTAAATCATATTCTCCTCACTGTTCTCACTCCTATATCTACCACTGGTTTGTTTCTGTGGGCACCTGCTTTTGTGAAGACCCTCAAAGGATGAAGGACAGATATTTGGCACATGGAAAGAGAAGGTCCACTGGCCCAGAGTTTCCTTGCATTGCACATCACACACATTCACTGTGCAATTAGCATTATCACTCAGTGTGGATTTATTATAATAAAAACATACAAATGGCCTTACTATATGAGAACAAAGTCCCATATTGCTCCATCTTTTAAGTGGCCAAAATCAAATTACTGCAGGAAAAGCAAAAATGGGGCAAAAATAGATCTGGTCACATTAATCTCATATTGTTTGGGGGAAAACACAGCGATACTACAATATTGATTGCTGAATGTAACATTGTAACGGGCTCCCATAAATATATACTTATATTGCACAACATTTTGCTTAAACAATAGTGATATCAAAATCAACTTTGCTGTACTTTAAAACCAAAAAACATGGTAGGGCCCCAAAAGAAAAGAATCATCATTCAGTATTTCTGTAGTCTAGTGAAGTTCTAGAAAAGTCAGTCCCTGCCTCTACATTACAGAATGTTTTTATCAAGGACCTGAAAAAAAAGTCACTGGTAGAAGTTTGTACATGATACACAAACTGGGCAAATAACAAAAGGGTTACTATTACACAGTAATCTGGATCAATTTGTAAGCTAGAACCAAGCAAACATTAAACAATTCAAAAGAGCCAAACATAAGGTCTTCTACTGAAGAACCAAAGGCAAAACACATCTGATGTGGGACTATGTTAGGAAGCAGTGAGTCAAAAAAGGATTTAGGGGCCACAGGGATCATCAGGTGAAGGCAAACTCCCAACACAATGCTATAGAAAAAAATACTACTGGGATTGTTATACTTGCAAGCAGAAATATTGTGTAGAAGGGGACTGCACTGCTACTTTTATCCTGTGTTCAGTGTTAGCACCTCCATTTCAAGAACAACGTTAGACCCTCAAGTGATTTCTGAGGAAGGAAGATTGGAACCAGAAATTCTGGCTTATAGAAAGAGAGCACTTGTTCCATGACTTTAAGAAAGAGAAGGCTAAGGAAAGGCTTGATCCCAGTCAAAGTACACACATTTTTGAGTGGCATTTCTATTTATCCAACAGGGGACATAAGATTTAATTGACCTGAAGCTGAAGTCTATTCAGGCTGGAAATAAGCAGACATTTTTTAAAGTAATTGAATATATTTAGACACCTTAATGAAATGATCATTGGTACTATTCAAACCAAAACCTTCCTTTACTCCAAACCAGAATTTGCAGAGGGAAATTCTATGGGGCTGTTACACAGGATCTTGGGCTAGCAGGCTACAGTAATCCTGTGAGGTCTTACAGTCCTAGGAAGCATGCTGGAAATAGCACAGTATTCTCACATATCCTTCCCACAGACCTTCTGCAACCCCCTGAGGAAAAGACACACCTCAAAATCTGCTTCCTGGCAATCAAACCCCCTTCAAGTGGCAACAGGGACACATGCTGACAGCTTGCCACCTCCCTGCACATCAGATATGTCAGCCTAGTCAAGAAAATCAGGAGAGGGATGCTAATAGCAGTTGTGTGCAGAGGTCATGCTCTTTTCCATAAGTATTAAGTCAAAGGGAGGAAGCACAGAGAAAAGAAGAGGAAAGGGAAGAAGTGATAAGAAGTGGGAGGTTTTAGATGAATTGCTCCTGGGCTGCAGTCCCTTCACCCCTGCTCCCTCTGTCCTCCCTGTGCCCTGCACATGGGGTGTGAACAGCTGCACACGCACCCTCTGCCAAGGCAGATATAAAAGCATCAAAAAGGGCACTCTGACTTTTACAAAATGCATCTGCCAGAAACTCCTTCAAGTGCAACATGTGCCAAACCCTGCCCAGCTACCGGCTGGCTCTGCCTGCTAATCTGCCAGGCTGAAGTGCCCCCTCATTCCTCATGACCGCAGCCAAGCTTGCAGATGCCCTTCAGCTGGAATTGCTGCACACAGGCCATGAATTTCATTCCCCTTGTTCAGCCTTCCACTCACCCTCTTGCACTGGCTAAAGAAATTCAACCTGAAGCCCATGCCAAGGAGCTGGGAGACATCCTGACTATATATCATAAGAGAACGTAGGGTGGCTGCAAGACTCCAATGCTGCATTTGGAATTTAGTTAATTATTCTGTCGATGAGGTGTAGTTAGCAGTTATGCCTCCAAGGACTAGAGAACACACGGCTATGGAGTAATTTCCTACTGTCTTTTCCCCTGAGCAATAAGGTCCTGCAGAATCCAGGGCCAGAGCCAAATTTGTATGTGGATCCTGCAAGCCTGGGAACAGTTATGCGTATTTTAGCTGTTACCTGCAGCTCAGAGTTCCACAGATTAGCTACAAAAAATGGGGTCATTTGAATGGGCTTGATTTTCTTGTCTTACATTTTAGTGATCAGTCAGAGATACTAGGCTGCAGGGAATGAGAGCAAAGAAAACGCTCTTACCCTTAGGACTGGTTCTCCAGGCTCACAGAACAAGTTCACAATTCTTCCTGTGGCATATGTACCTTCTTCGCCAACCTACTTTGCATGAGACCACTTGTCCTTGCAAAACTAACATAAATGGTATCAAGCTTAAGGCAGCGCATACTGGTACTCCTGACCTCTGCCCAACTCTGCACAGACCATTCACCACTTGCCCAGATGAACTCCCTCCTGCTGGACCCTCTCCAATACAGGTGCAGTGCAACTGGAAACTCTTCACAGGGAAGTTTTCCAGCCTCCCTCCCTAGCTCTTTCCTCACTCCCTGCTCTCCTCCCCTGCAAAGTCCAGTTACCTCCAGCTGCTTGTGAGGATTTCCACTCTGGCTGCAGCAGCACAGCTTGTTCTCAAAAATGAGACTCAGAAGAGCAACACGTGGGACGAGGAATTCAGATCTGTGGAGAACCACAAGATTTCTAGCCAAGAGGAACACTACTGCAACACTGTCTCCATCACAGCCCCGCAGGGCAGCAGCTACCTTCCCAGGAACTCAGAAAAGCAGTAATCCAGTTTGCCTGCAGTGATGTTTCCCAGAAAAATAAATTTTCCTATGCTAATCCCTACCCCTCTCCAAATGCTGGACACAAAGTAAAACAGAGCAGAGGCCCTGACACAAAGAACTTGCAATCTCATGTACAAACAATAGAGCTAGCTCATTTGTCTTCCTAAAGAGAAATAAATAAATGAATAAATGAATAAAAAACCCCAAGGCCAAATGTGTATTTTGCTGATATTCCACATTGGCAAGGCAGGGTACAACCCTTGCACGCATTTCCCAATGCAAAATGAGCTACCTGGTGTAACTGGAGCTCTAAGAAGAGTGCCTGCTGGAACAGCTCTGCCGGCCAGGGATTTCACCTCCTCACACCCCTGACTGACAGGTGTCTGGAGCAGAGACCAGCCAGGAAAGAGCATCTTACTGGGATTAAGCGTGCATGCCACAGCCATTAAGGAGTCAGCTGTTACACTGACTGCGAGGGGCAGAGGAGGGGCGGTTTGTCTGCAGTTGGTTCTCCCAACCCTCCCCTGGTCAGGTGCAAAAGGGAGCGGCAAGAGGAGATTACTGGTGCAAAGCTGGCCAAAAACCAATTCTGAAGAGTTAATTAAAAGGAGAGGGAGATCACGAGGCAAACAGGCAGGGCGAGGAAAGAGGGTGAGCAAAGGCAGAGCTGCAAGTGAGGAAGAAGCTCTTTGCAGGGGGAGCAGAAAACAGAGTTGACAGGCATAAAGAAAAGAAGGGGACCCAAAGCATAGGTGGGGCCCAGCCAGGAGAGCCCTGAAGGCAAGGAAAAGGTGTCATCGGAGGCAAGCAATGGGTACAGAGGTCCCTGCAGAAGCCTGCTGAGCAGCGTTGAGGGAGGGTGCAAGCGTGCACAGAATTCAAGAATAGGTGGCAAAGGAGCGGAAAGGTTTCAGCAGAACCGATGCCGGCAGGGAGGGCAGATACTACAGCTCTCGCTTAGAATACAGGAGGGGAAGAAGGGAGGGATGCGAGGGGACTAGAGAGCAAAGCAGGGAGTCGGGGCAACCCAGGCACGCAAGCACAGGGATGGTGGGGCAGCCCCCAGCACTGACCTTGCCATGTAGCCCAAGACGTGGGCCCGGATGACTATAGCTGCTTTCCTCAACTCCTCTTCCCGATCCTTCTCCAGCTTCTGCTCAAGAGCTTCCTTCAGGAAAACCTGACGCCACGGGGAGGAGTTTCAATAAACACAAAGAGAGGAAAGAAGTCAGTCGCCGGGAGAGCCGGGAGATTTCATCCCCGGGTGACCAGCACAGAGTGCGCTCTGTGTGGGGGCGCC